GATCTTCACGGTGCTCACGATGCCAAGCTCTTGGTGCTCTTGTGGCCTCACGACGAATCCTTCGAGAATCTTGAGTCTACCCCGGCCACAGGCCAGCCAAAACACAGTTCCACTGGGGGCACCGTCGTGGAGGCCGTCAACCACAAGTCCAGCAGATAGCTGGCAGGTTCCAAATCAGCGACGCTGGTTAGGCCAGTCCACGATCGATACTAAGGTCGCGAACCTTAGTCAGGAGCCTCGTGTGATACCACAGATCACTCTCCTTGCCACAACTCCCCAGTGGTTAAGCGTCTCCTCCAGTCAGTCCCGGATATGACAATCCCTCAACTGCCACTTCACAGGCAGGTCAACACCACAGTGTTCATCCGGGGGCGACTCACAGCTGCTGCAGCAAACACTTGGAGACGAGACGACTGCCTTGGGTAGACTGACTCAACTTCATTACAGCAGTCCCAGGTCGACTCTGTAAGCAGACACGTCATCAATAATAGAGACACACTAGGGCATGTCACTTACCGGCTTAGACACAAACGCCCGACGTATCTACTCCATAGATGGCGTTGCTGTCTAAGCTCCACCTCACCAGAGGTCAGCAGCGGCTGTGTTATGAGCTGATCAGGACTGGAAACTAGCCCTTGTGGCCAGTACACCTCGTCCTCACCAGGTGTCGTCGTCCATTTGGAGGGGGGTTTCGGGAGCCGACCCACAGATGGCGCGGTCGTCACTGCTCCGTGCTCGGACGTTGGATTCGGGTCCGTAACAGATACTACCTAAGGTGCCATGGAGTTGTGATATCTACCAGGATACTGCGTAAGGTGCCATGGGGTTCTGGTATCTACCAAGATACTGCCTAAGGTGCCATGGGGTTGTGGTATCTACCAGGATACTGCCTAAGGTGCCATGGGGTTGTGGTATCTACCAAGATACTACCTAAGGGGCCATGGAATTGTGGTAGGTGTCAGTATGCTGTGTTAAGGTGCTGTGGATGTTGTACGAGGTGCCATTAATTAATTAACCCTTAACATTGACAAAATCTTTTATATTCTGTTTGGCAATAAATCCTCTAATCAAATAAATCTCAAAATAAACAATACCCAAATTTGTAACAAATTAGATGGCAAATTCCTTGGCATTCTCATTGACCACAAGCTTAATTTCCAGGGACACATTCTAAACATATCAAAAAAAGTTTCAAAAACTGTGGGCATTCTTTCTAAGATCAGATATTATGTACCACGCCCTGCCCTGGTGTCTCTCTATTACTCCCTTATCTATCCATATCTCAACTATGGTATTTGTGCTTGGGGCTCTACTACCCAAAATCACTTACGTCCTCTAATTACTCAACACAAAGCTGCTATTAGGACAATATCCAATTCTGGCCCCAGACATCACTCGGTACCCCTACTTAAATCTCTGAATATGTTAGACATTAAGTCTCTGCACATTCTCTCATGTGTATTATACATATATAAAACGCTAAACTATAATGCCAATCCTGATCTCAAAAGCTTCATAGAAGGTTGTATCAGAACCCATGAGCATCACACCAGAAATAAATACAGTTTTGATATTCCTAGAGTACGACTTAATCAAACTAGAAACGCTCTACAAATCAAGGGGCCCAGAATGTGGAATGACCTTCCCAACCATGTTAAAGACTGTACCTCTCTCAACCAGTTTAAGTTAAAAGCGAAGCTATACCTAATAAATTCCCTGTAACCTACCTTACCCTTCTATTGTCAACCAATGTCTGTTTTTTTCTTTAAAGAGCGCTGTTTGTCGACATAATTGTATTTGTGCTGCTTTTTCATCTATGTTTTCATTTCTTGTTTTCATTCTACTCATTATGCTCAATTAGTATTAAGCTTGTCATTTAAGTTTATCATGCCCGAAACGCTTTGCGTAATAGTGGCTTTAGGCATTGTATGTACTAGCTATACCTATAAGTTAAACAATCCTTGTAAATATTTATTGTATGTATGTACCTTACCTAAATAAAATTGTATTGTATTGTATTGTAATTGTTGTGCCCTCAACGTTAGGATCGCTGAGTTAGTAACGGAGAGTGTATCACTCAGTACAACACGTCATCCTGTAACCCATTGTTACTATATCTGAAGCGCTGCGGGTAATTTTGTGCTTTATATGACATACAAATTTTGTACTTAAGTTACCACTCAACCTACTTGCTTGTTCATATCCATTACTTGAGAAAACGAAGACATATCAGGACTGACTAAAGTATTTTTTTCCTAACATGTTTCAGAGAACTTTCTATAAAAGTTTTCTTGCTAACTGTACCTAATTAATTTTATTTTACTGTCTGTACTGCATAACATGCAATTTCACATCTTGTGTGTGGAGCAGATAAAACCAAGTGGCTAGACAAAAGATTATCCGTACTGTAGCATGTTCTGGCGTCGCCACCGAGGGCTCAGCCTGCGGTTACCACTAAAAAGGAGGGCTTACCTAGAGTCCAAAACATCTTTCGGCTTCTCCACAGGCTCCAGGGAGCCTTGTGGGGATAGACGAGCGAGGTCGAAACACGGTATATTCTCTGGGGGTGAGGTGGAGCCGACTAACTGGCAGACGTGGCGACTCAAAACACAAGAGCCACCTCCATGACTGTCGGAGGCTGAGCGCTCACTCCCTCCTCAGAGTGCGACCCCAGATAAATCAGCTGGTGCAGTGAGAGTGGTGAGAAAATCTTGAATTCAGCCAGGGTATATACAGCAACTAGGACAGGGGAGAGATCTTTCTTCCCACAGTTTACCTCAGGGACGAGGGAGGGCAGGAGCCTCCTGATGGCGCCACCCGCGGCCAGCCAATCACAGGCACGCTCTTGCCCACCTTCAGGAAAGGTTCCCTATATAGCACCGCTATTCAATCAGTCAGTCGTAAATCGTTGTTCTTTGGCCTTTAGACCATATCAAAGGAATTATAAAAAAAAATCATATATTCTATGTTGTACCAACTGTACATAAATCTTCTCCTCGTGCCGACTCTTGATTGATGAGTAGTGAGCAACAGTGATGACGTGACATAATGGCCACTAGGGAGGGTGTGGTGTCCGCTCCGGGACCACACTAGTGCTCTATTTTGAATGGCCCAAATACGCAAGCTTGTGAGTTTGATATCTAAATTCTTTTTCAAAATTATAAAAAGGTTTTGCCACTTTAATTTGTTCTACGTTCATGAGCTTAACGAAAACATTGAAATATTATATTATTTGTTCTTGTCTTTCTACGCCTAAGTATTTAGCAAAAAATTGAATATACATGTATATATGCATGGCCCGAATATTAATTTCAGTTTCAATATTGCACAACTCAGCATACAATAATAATAATAATAATAATAATAATAATAATAATAATAATGATTTATTTACAAGAAGGTATAATGGGTTTGTGAGATTACATAAAATTGGTATTTTTACATCCTTGCAAAGCCACTAACACGCATAGGGTTTTGGGCAGAAAAAAAGACGAAACAGATACTATATTTAGCAACACATGTTAATCACAATATACGTAATTTATTTCCTAAGTAGAAATAGAGGAACTAATTAAAACATAGACAGGCTTCAAAGCAGGTCACAAGAACTTTCTAATGAACAATACATTGTAGCCGTCAACAGAGGCACCAAGTACGATGATTGTGGCTACAATACATATACGCGCTACACATAGCAATAACACATATACGCGAGCAAAAATGCATATATATATATACATGGCTATAATATATATATACTTGAATGTAATGATATACATGAATGTAAGACAAATATGCATGAATGTAATTCACATACGTTATCATTTATTCAAGATCAAACCTCACACCAAGTCTTAGATGATATACAATACCATTGTCTCCTGCTTGTCTAACACACCTCCCAAGGCCAAAAATACACTAGCGTAAGAAGAGAAACCAACCCCCCAAGAGGAGTCGTAATATTCAAGTAAGAGAAAGTAATATACTTTCTGAAGGACGGATCATTAATTTATTTTATAAAGAGCGATAATATCTACAAATCCAGAAAATGTAAACATGCATTGGTTTTCCCTCGTTTCCCATAGTCAAATAAATGTGTTTGCGGGGGGTTGAGTTTCGGCTCTTTGGTCCCGCCTCTCAATCGTCACGAGGCAGGGGAAGAATCAACACGGAGGGAAAAGGTGTGTAATAGCGAAGTTTATAGATAGCAAATATTTAATTCCACTCCATCCATGCGTTTTATTATTCTTAAAACAATATCTTGGTAAAACATGGAGAATCACCCTCCAGCAGTCAACCCACTGCAGGTCCACACTGCTCTCTTATACCAGCCACACTGCTCTCTTATACCAGCCACACTGCTCTCTTATACCAGCCACACTGCTCTCTTATACCAGCCACGCTGCTCTCTTATACCACCCACACTGCTCTCTTATACCAGCCACACTGCTCTCTTATACCAGCCACACTGCTCTCTTATACCAGCCACACTGCTCTCTTATACCACCCACACTGCTCTCTTATACCAGCCACACTGCTCTCTTATACCAGCCACACTGCTCTCTTATACCACCCACACTGCTCTCTTATACCACCCACACTGCTCTCTTATACCAGCCACACTGCTCTCTTACACCAGCCACACTGCTCTCTTATACCAGCCACACTGCTCTCTTATACCACCCACACTGCTCTCTTATACCACCCACACTGCTCTCTTATACCACCCACACTGCTCTCTTATACCAGCCAACCTCTTAAAATGACAGTACCAATAGCAACTATTTGCTATCAACTTCGATTGCATAAATTCCTATTTTAGTAATTTCATATCACAGATAATTATATTGTATTATCACTTAGATCACCTCACTATTCACATTTATTCTGCACACAATTTCCTGCTTTCTCCGATACAATAATCAGCTAGTTAACATAACTCTTTCATTCTCATAGAGTGTTATACTTTGTCATAAAAGGTGAAAATTAACTTGGAGTGCAGTAATGTCAATGTTGTAGTATATTTTTGAATTAATATATCATGGTTGGCAAATAATGTGTCGCATTAATTACATGATCTTCTTTCATATTGAATAAAGGTTATTTTTATCAGAAGAAGAATTTTTGCCTTTCAACCCAGCCGGACCCTTCAAAATTAACCCAATACTACTGTATTGGGTTAATACAGTACATACATACCTTTTACATAGTACATAAAGGTACATACGTTTTCAGAGTTACAATTTATTTACACCGTGAAGTATGTAAAGGGTTACTGATATAAAATTGAAGGGTTGAGATAAACTATAATCGCTGTCTGGTAGATCACAGAAGCTTGGTTCTCGCGTGCCTTGACCACATTCGCAGCCAAGGCATAACCACGCCTTATAAAGCTGGAGAGAAGATTATGTTCTTTCCCGGGTACAGCATCTTGAGCAGCGGTTCGACGCTGTAGCCGAACAACAGGAAGTCAACTTCATATTTGCGATAGAGGGCTTCGAGAGTGTCGAGGTCGAGGGTGGAGTAGTAGCGATGGAGGAGGAGGCTAGTGTCCCCCCGGCCCCGGTTGGCGTTCTCCTCCAGAACCTGCATCAAGTGGAAGCAGTGTTAGGTCATGTTACTGAGGACAGACGTGTGACCCGCTGAGAAAGTTCTTAGAGATATCAAACTTCAATGCTCCTCAGAGACAACTCTACACCAAGTTACTCTGGAAAGTAATATATATATAACGTTATCTTGAGATGATTTCGGGGTTTTAGTGTCCCCGCGGCCCGGTCCTCGACCAGGCCTCCACCCCCAGGAAGCAGCCCGTGACAGCTGACTAACACCCAGGTACCTATTTACTGCTAGGTAACAGGGGCATAGGGTGAAAGAAACTTGGCCCATTTGTTTCTGCCTCGTGCGGGAATCTAACCCGCGCCGCAGAATTACGAGTCCTAGTCCTGCGCTATCCACCAGGCTACGAGGCCCCCAACGTAGTTACAGCAACAAAATAATATATATATATATATTCACCTTAGGATCGATCTTGCGAGCAAGACCGGAATCCTCCAGTATGAAGCGCATGTCCTCTGTCTGTGTGTCTTCCCTGCCTATAGCATTGTATTTCATGATGCAAGGAGCACAGTGCTTCCAGTAAGGTGCCCAGTGAGGATCGTATTTCTCTAACGAGGTCTTTACCAGATAAGTCACAAACTCCGAGAACGTGGGAATCACACTCAGACTTCCGTTGGTCATCATCTCCGACTCCTGCAAGAAGATTCCAGCATCTGAGTAAAGGCTAAGGTGTTTGTTGTGAATGAGTCCAATGCTCATTAATGAGAACACTGGAATAAAGAAAGCTGCAGAGGCCTAGTGACCCAAGCGAGGCAGCTCGAAAGGGGTAAAGAATGCCAAGTCTCCCTTCTATCAAGTCCGGAGCCCCTTCTATCAAGTCCGGAGCGTTACGAAGCCAACCTGTATACGGGGATGGGGGGTAGAGGCTGGCTCAACTGACCCCGGGGAACACCCGGCGAGTGGCTCTGGATATATGAGGCTCACATTTATATTTACAAATATATCTCGAAAACTAAATGTGCACAAAAATGTACATGAGTGCAATTATCCGAAGGAAGGTATTCGCCTTCAAATGTTATACTCATCTTGGAAATATTTGACATCATAATACAACATATTTCTGCAAACAGACGATTAAATATCAATTTTTCATGAAAATATGCATAACTAAACAAAAAGCCCCTTCCCCACCTCTCAAGACACTCTATTTATTGTTGCTGCTTTATTTTAATAAAGTAATAAATAATACTACACACAGTATTTTAATAATCTCTATTAATAGTTTCTACTGTATTTTAATAAAGACTATAAAGTATTAAAGTTGACAAATATCTAACTGAAACATAAAAATACTGTTTCCAGAGATAAGGGAGGAAGTGCGCCCCATGAAATCACCGAATTTATTAAACCTAGCGCATCGAAGCCTTCATTATCTTCCCTCAACATTGCTCGAGTCAGCCGGACTCTGGCGGTCTTCTCACCTCTAGAGATGGTCTTGTTAGTTTGAATATTTGCGGTCCGAAGGTCTCCCTCTGCCATGAGCTGTGGGAGGTGTCCTCGAAGCGGTCCCGGTAAGCGGAGAGCAGCCTAGTGAATGGATCACGCACGATCATGAACCTGTAGAAGTTGAGCGCCTTCTGGAGGTCACGTCTGTTCCTCACTGCCATCACTTCACGCATACTGCAGACAGGGATATATTTTTATTAATCCGGCTGGAAGCATGGGGCTTTATTTTTATTAATCCGGCTGGAAGCATAGGGCTTTATTATGATTAATCCAGCTGGAAGCATAAGGGTTTATTTTGATTAATCTAGCTGGAAACAGGGATTTATTTTGGCTTAATCTGACGGTATAATTCAGTATTTTACACTGAAATATACTTTTTTAGGTCGATATTTTGTATTTATTTAACAAGTTCTTACATTTTGAACAACTTAGTATTCTGCCTCCATGAAACTCACTTGTAAAAATTTTTCGACTTGAGAATGGATGTTTGGTTGAGAAGGCGAGCAAACATGGCGTTCCAGGCGGTAGAACCAACCTTGTACTGCCAGCAGAAGAGCATTTTGTTGTTCTACAAAAAAAATCGTAAGGAAAAAACTCTGAATTTGGACATAGAGATACGGAAAACACTGGAGATGAGGTTGATTACATAATTTGATTAGAATTAACTAAAGTATTATTGTTTCCTTTGTGGAAGAGTGAAATTAACTAACAAAAATTAATATTCACGACTAAATGAGATAAGACAATTAGCTGTTTTGTCAGCGAACATTGGTGACCTTCAAAGGAAAAAAAACTTTTATATTTTGGCTTACTGAGTTAAAAAAACGAGTATTGTAATGCATGACAAAGTGGTTGGGAAATAAAAGAGTAATAAATTCACCATTCAAGTTTCTATATACATATATATTCTTAAAAATTATTTCAAAGTTATTATAAATAATCATGACAGAAAGCCTCGTCTAGGCTTTCCCGAGAGATGGAACTTCCACTACAATATCTGGAACGCCTGGAAGTTCCACCACTACAATATCTGGAACACCTGGAAGTTCCACCACTACAATATCTGGAACGCCTGGAAGTTCCACCACTACAATATCTGGAACACCTGGAAGTTCCACCACTACAATATCTGGAACGCCTGGAAGTTCCACCACTACAATATCTGGAACGCCTGGAAGTTCCACCACTACAATATCTGGAACACCTGGAAGTTCCACCACTACAATATCTGGAACGCCTGGAAGTTCCACCACTACAATATCTGGAACACCTGGAAGTTCCACCACTACAATATCTGGAACACCTGGAAGTTCCACCACTACAATATCTGGAACGCCTGGAAGTTCCACCACTACAATATCTGGAACACCTGGAAGTTCCAACACTACAATATCTGGAACACCTGTAAAGTTCCACCACTACAATATCTGGAACACTTGGAAGTTCCACCACTACAATATCTGGAACGCCTGGAAGTTCCACCACTACAATATCTGGAACGCCTGGAAGTTCCACCACTACAATATCTGGAACACCTGGAAGTTCCACCACTACAATATCTGAAACACCTGGAAGTTCCACCACTACAATATCTGGAACACCTGGAAGTTCCACCACTACAATATCTGGAACACCTGGAAGTTCCACCACTACAATATCTGGAACACCTGGAAGTTCCACCACTACAATATCTGGAACACCTGGAAGTTCCACCACTACAATATCTGGAACACCTGGAAGTTCCACCACTACAATATCTGGAACACCTGGAAGTTCCACCACTACAATATCTGGAACACCTGGAAGTTCCACCACTACAATATCTGGAACACCTGGAAGTTCCACCACTACAATATCTGGAACACCTGGAAGTTCCACCACTACAGTATCTGGAACACCTGGAAGTTCCACCACTACAATATCTGGAACACCTGGAAGTTCCACCACTACAATATCTGGAACACCTGGAAGTTCCACCACTACAATATCTGGAACGCCTGGAAGTTCCACCAGCATACCTGGTCCATCTGGAAGTTGGTAGCGGGAACGGCTTGCGGCAAGAAGGTCGTGCCTGCCAGCCTGAAGTAGTCGCCGCTGGAGAAGAGGGAGAGAAGCTCGGGGTGAGTGCCGGTGACCAAGAACCTGCTGCAGGAGTCAGCGAGGCGACGGCGACGTTCTCTGTGTACTTTCTGCACGGGGATAACATTCCAGGAAGACATGATTAGTTGGGTAATTGTGAACATTCACATCCACGGGAAGCATTCCTGGTTTGATACAATGAAGTGATAGTGAGCTGGTTACCATTATTATTATTATTATTATTATTATTATTATTATTATTATTATTATTATTATTATTATTATTATTATTATTGTTATTATTATTAGTATGGTAGAGTGGGATGGTGTGTGACGCTGGACTGAGTTGTATGGATTGTATGTGACGCTGAAGTGTGATTGTGCGTGACGCTAGTGTGATTGTGTGTGACGCTAGTCTGATTGTGCGTGACGCTGGAGTCTGATTGTGCGTGACGCTGGAGTTTGATTGTGCGTTACTCGTTTTTAAATACAAAAGATGTAATTATTGCGTAATCGCTTATTATAAAGAAAACTTATAAAACAGGATATCCTCCGATATGCTTATCCACCGACAGGGGTTTCAGCAGCGGTCTCCGTTGCTTCTGACTGTAATATTAAATTTAAATATTAATTTTAGTAAGGACTTTCACCGACACTCTTACCTGTACTCTTTTGTACTCCGCATTCGTCATCAGGTACAGTTGACGTGTCTTCTTGCGTCTTGTACCGCGGCGGACGCTGTATCCGTCAGCACCAGCGCCTGATACAGCACCTTCAGGATGCATAAATTTTCCAAAATTCTCGTGTTTTAGTCCCTTCAGCTCCAGTTCCAGTTTCTTTAAATCCTGCTCCAGTTCCTTCTGCTGGACGTTTAAGATGTGGTTGTCCTCTTGGGATGTGTTGTCGGTTGAGACCTGCAAGGATTGTTTAAGTATGAAGTGTCAGAATTCACACTCACGGAGATCAAAATATCAAGAGAGATCAAGAGGGAGCCACTGTGGTGACATATTGGAGATGGTCTCAGAAAGTTTCAGGTGGTGTCTGTGTCCGTTAATACTTCAATATCGTCATGTATAGTTAAAATTGAAATTGAAATAAGTTTATTGAGGTAAAATACACACAAAGGGATGAGGTAGCTCAAGCTATTCTCACCCCGTTCAGTACATCGTGTTAATACATACATAGACACACATCACAAACAATAAACATATTATCAAACATGCTGAGAGATAAACATATACATTTCCTTATGCATAGTTAGTGAGGGACAACTCACTGCTCCGTCTCACCTCACCACCCCGGCCCCTACACTTGTCACAACGGAAAGAAATGATGTATTAAATTGCCCGACTGACCTTAACCTAACCTAACTCGAGGACCCACGCATAGTTGAATACTTATGAGCCGCTATGATGTAGTAGAGCCGACAGTGGCGGGTCGGCCATAGGAGCTGGTGAGCTGCACTCCCTCAGACACCACCAACCCTCACACTAGAATAATAAGCAGCTAACAAATGTATCATAACAAAAAGTCTTGTATATGTTATTTTCAATATATTTAAAGTTGAATTTTGAAACGTAATTAAAACCTCAAAAATAGAGGTTTCTTGCTGTACGATAGTGTAGGATATATTGGCGCAACATTTGGCAATGTTGAGCTGCATTCAGTAGCCTATTCACGATCCCTAGCGGCCTGCAGTATGAATAAGAAGCGTTTATTAATGTCTTTCGTTTAATGGTTTCTTCCTTGAATTATGTTTCTTTTAATTATTATTATTATACTGTTGTGTGAAGATTGGAGTGACGCCGTCCTTCCATTCTAATTTCCCCACAAGCCGCCACTGGCGCTGCTGTAGTGGTGGTGAACGGAACTATCAGGAGAAAGAGCCTAGCCATTACGACTACATAGCACTTGGAAGGGATTGGGATAAGGATTTGGGATGGGACAGGGGGGAAAAATGGTGGCCATTCCTTTCTGGGACGGTCGGGGATTGAACGCTGACCTGCATGAAGCGAGACCGTCGCTCTACTGTCCAGCCCAAATGGTTGGGTTGCTGATGCAGGAGCGATGGTGATGCAGGAGCTGTAATTCAGTAGTAGTATTCGCCTAGCTCACCTAGTTGTGCTTGCGGTGTTGAGCTCTGCTCTTTCGGCCCGCCTCCTAACTATCAATCAATCAACTTTTTTTCACACCTCCAGCATACAGCCCGTAGCAACTGTCTAATTCCCAGGTACCTATTTACTACTAGGTAACAGGGGGCATCAGAGTGAAAGAAACTCTGTCCATTTGTTTCTGCCATCGCCGGGTATCGATCCCCGGTCCCTAGATCTACGAGACTAGAGCGCTGTCCACTCAGCCACCAGGCCCCCGAAATGGTTGCAGCTCGCGAAATTTACGTTATGTCCCGTTTTCTGTTTGTAGATCCTCGGGTAGGTTAGGTTCCGGCAATTTAGTACATCACTTCAGTGACGTTGGGAACGTTCGTTGGAACGGGGGTGGATGCTGGCCGCAGAGGACTGTACGTGAACGTGCAGGTAAGATGATGTTTGCGGAAGCCGGGAACACAAACGAGAGGCTTCTTGGGTACACATACTCTTCCTGTTTTTTCTCTTGTAATTGAAGCAGTATTTGTTTTCCCAGGCACCAGGTGAGACAGACGGATACGCAGACACACACATACACACACGGCCGAGTGGACAGCGCTCAAGGGGTCATAGATTATTACATAATCTAATAGGCCCGGGCTCGATTATAATCAATATGCCCGGGCTCGATTATAATCAATATGCCCGGGCTCGATTATAATCAATATGCCCGGGCTCGTTTCCCGGTCGAGGCAGAAACAAATGGGCAGTTTCACCTGATGCACCTGTTCACCTAGCAGTATGTAGGTGCCTGGGAGTTAGACAGCTGCAACGAGCTGTATCCCGAGAGGACAATAAGTCGCGAGTCAGTGTATTAGACAACCGACAAGTAGACAGGCAGAGTCCAACATTCTATAGACACAAATAGTAAATACAAACACGCATAGACACTATTTGTCCTATCAGACACTGAAAGGTGCGCAGAATCTGGGTATTCGTAGTTGTTTGTTGTTGTTGTTTTAGGATATGATGAGCCCATAGTGGACCTGGCACAGGAGCGGGGCTGTAACTGTTGCGTTGGTAGGAACCGTTATTGTGCCCGGGTAGCACGGGCCCAGCGTGAGGGCTGGCGGCGGCGGGCGGGTGAGGTGAAGAACCGGTTACATCACCACGCTCGCCAGATATTACTGGGACCTATTGTTCGCTTGTTGTCTTAATCCTCCAGTAATGTAAGCACTGTGTTTGTCAAAGCTAAAATATCTTAACTGCTTATGGAAATAAATGTTGATGGTAAGTTTGGAAACGCCTAAAAGCCTCACGAAGACGGCGCGAAAGAGTCCTCCTATACCTGTTTGATGAAGAATGCGTCGCCCACAGCTATATTTGCGTACGACAACAGACTCGTACCCGGTTATGTGCTAATCGGTTAAATATTCAGACTCAAATTAGCATTCTTCCCTCTTGAAATGTACAGGTGAGCGGTCACCTTGAAGGACATAGTCGACGGTCTCAGTGTCTGTTGTTGGTTAATCGACTTAACAAGCAAAATGTCAAATCCTGCAAGGTCATTGCCCTCCAGAATGGGGAGGGAAGGGTGGGGGGGGTGACCAGAATACATTCACTCCACATTGGTAACGGAGGAGCTGGATGGCCAGCATCTATCCACTCCACACTGGGGGTGGCTAGCACCCGTTCATTCCAAACTGGAATGGACGTGGAATGAGCAGGATAAGAAGACGGGGGGTGGGGGAGGCGTGAACCATCTCCCCAACCTTCCCAAGTGTGGGAAATTTTTTATTGTTGTCGCCGGAGGCGGCTAGTTTATTGTGCACCCCATACTCATCCTGTGAGCGGTAGCACAAAAAGCATTAAAGGGCATAAAAGGTCTTTATCAGACCTCAGCGAAGATTATTACATAAACAATTTCATCTATCCTTCACACCTTATAATTGTGGGAAAGACAAGACTATTCCGACCACCGCCAGGTAACCCCTATAACATACCTATAAAACAGAATATTGTTTGTCTAAGGTTGGACAGATGCTTGGGGCTACCCTCATCTAATTTTTCTAGACAAATCCCGCCGAGTCATATATGTCGTATTACGGGCTATTCATGCCCGTGACACCTATTGGGTGGCTTAATCTTTATCAATCAATCAATATGTCTCATAGGCCAGTCGGGGTCGACACATTAACAACGAATACAGTCGGGGGTCGGGTCATGTGAGGTCGGCTTTTAAAAAATATTGGTATTTATAGAGACCTCCCCTCACTCTGCGATTTTCATAGTCAATTCTGAAATATTGGTTGTGTTTCCCATAAGAGTTGTTTAGCAGTTTCAATGCTTCGAAATAATTAATTTTCTGTGTTAGGGCGAAAGAGAGGGTGACGAAGAGGAGGAAGAGGAGGGGGCGAGGGCAGGAAGAGGGGCGAGGAGAAACCTAGGCGCAGCCAGGTACCTCTTCTAGTATCTGTATAAGAGAGAATGTCAGTCTGTCTGTTTGTCTGCCTACCTGTCTATCCAAAGTTTGAGGTCAGATGCTTGGGGCTAGCCTCACTCAAATTTGCATGGGAATGATCTAGGGTATGGGACGGACATAGGCTGGCCGGGGTCAGTCCTACTGGTCCTATTAAGAGGGGACCGGCCTAATAGTGACCTCCCCCCCCCCCCCCCACCTTCCTTCTATCTGAGACAATAGATAGTGGGGGATAGAAAGAAGAAGGGAAGAAAATGGGAAAAGGAGGACTGTATGGAGAGTGAAGAAGTGGAGAGAGGGGGTGGGATGTGTGAAAAAAGGAGAGGACAGTTGACCAAACCGCACACTATAAGATGAGGAGACGACGACGTTTCGGTCCGTCCTGGACCATTCGGACGAACGGAAACGTCGTCGTCTCATCTTCTAGTGTGTGTGTGGTTTAGCCAAAATTCTTCAACCACGTTATTGTGACTCATCATCTGCATAAGTAGAGGACAGGTAGAGATGGTGGAGAGGAGAGGTGAAAAAGAGAGAGGGTGGGGGAGGAGTTTGGGAGAGAGTAGGGGAGAAAGGTGGAGAAGGGGAGATGGGGAATAGGAGAGAGCCGAGAGGGGGGGGATCATGAGAGAGAAATTTGAAGAGAGGAGGTGAGGGGGGAGACTGGAAGAGAAGGAGAGGAACTGGGAATGACGGGTGGGAGGGGAGATCCGGGTGCAGCCGATTGCCTCCTCCTAGTAATATATATGTACACATATGTAAGAATAGTGACAAAAAACACGTGATGTATATATATATACTGTATATATACAAATTAAATGAGTCTGGTTTTTGAATAGGAACTACTACGCTCATTTTACAGTATCCTGTTACTTATGTCCTTATGTGACGAAGACGTCGCCTCATACTTTACTGTAAAATAAAAATAAAAAAACAGCTTTAAAAAAAACTAATTGCCGATGAATAAGTAGAATTTGCACCGGATCTTCCAGCTTTTGTGGAAATGGGAATCATCTGACTGGCTTTATGACTGTTAAAGTGTAGCCTCATAAAGCATTAGGTACAATTTGACGTAGTCTTGAATGTTAGCTTTGCTTCATGCTAAAAAAACGGCGAGGCGCGTTTTTCTCGTGTGTAACGGTGGCCAGAGTTCCTTTATGCATAGGTGGGATGAGTGTGTTCCGGTGGGGAAATAGAGTGCTGTGGAGAGAACATTTGGAATGATTTACCGTGTTATTCATGCACTGTGTGCTCACCTGTAACTTCATGCACTGTGTGCTCACCTGTAACTTCATGCACTGTGTGCTCACCTGTAACTTCATGCACTGTGTATTCAGCGCTACTTCGTGTATTGTATTCACTTACATCTTCGTTCAGTGCGTCTTCACTTCTATTTCCATGCACTGTCTACTCACCCTTACATCATTCATATGTTCATTTCATTTATGTTCATTTATGTATGATTTCATTCAATACTTAATTCACAGCATATCTCATTCATTCATTCATGGAGTTCCGACTATTATTTTCGTTATTCATGGGGCTCCCTTAATTTACACGTATAGTTATGTTCATCCATACATTCCATCATGTATAGAGTGGATGTATAGGCTATATGACAACGGAAAGTCTGCAAGATGGGATAGGCTACATGATTATAGGGAGCCTTCAGGATGGAATAGGCTACATGATAAGAGGGAGCCTTCAGGATGGGATAGGCTACATGATAATACGGAGCCTGCAGCGTTTTGTTGAAAATTCAAATATACCTTGGCGCCATATTTAAACTGAAAGGAAACCCTCTTGGAACAATTATAAGAAATAATTCGAAATTATAAATTAATACACCGTGGTCATTACATGAAGGTAACAGCTAAACGACTCTTTTATACGGTACGGTACTTAGTAGTACGGTACGGTACTTATACCTGTGTTTACCAGCTAAACGACTCTATGTACTACAGTACGGTACATGGTGCTTACCTGGGTGTACCAGGAGACGAGGGCCGGGGTGGGTGGTGGCGAGCAGAGGTACAGCAGACCGCCCACCGTCACCACCCACACCGCCCACTGCATACCTCTACGCCCAAATCTCCGCCGCATCGTTCCGGTCTTAGGGTATGGGATAACTTAAGATCTACGTGGGTATGGTAGGCGATCTCTTCATTACGTGGGTATGGTAGGCGACCTCTTCACTATGTGGGTATGGTAGGCGACCTCTTCACTACGTGGGTATGGTAGGCGACCTCTGCACTACGTGGGTATGGGCGGCGACCTCTTCACTACGTGTATATGGGCGGCGACCTCTTCACTACGTAGGTATGGGCGGCGACCTCTTCACTACGTGTATATGGGCGGCGACCTCTTCACTACGGGTGTGTAGTAGGCGCCCTCGTTTCCATGGGTGTCTGGAAGGCGACATCATCACCATGTGGGCTTGTGCGAAGCAACCTCGTCACTGTGGGCTTATGGGAGGCGACCTCATCACTAACATGCACTGAGGAAGCGACCTCTTTCCTATGAGTGCGGGAGGCGACCTGATCACTACCGAGGCAGAGGAACACTGCCTGGCCTCCACACCCCGGCCGCTCCTCGTTCTCTGTCCTCCCTTACCGCACAAAAACGACCAGCTCTTGTGCGCTCACTGCACGAGTGCGATAATATTTTAGTATTAAATGTTATTTATTATTGATTCTTAATTGTATCCGGAGAGAGCACGCACACACATAGTAAGCACGAGGAAGGAACTAAAATGTGAACTAGACGAGGCTACCTCCATCATAGTTTTAAAAGCTAATTGTGAAATAGAGTAGGCTACCTCCATCCATAGTTTTGATAGCAGAAATAACAAAAGTTATTGTTTTTGATGATTGGCAATAGCATGCTGTTAGTGTGTTTCATGGCTTTTTCTTGGCCATAATACGGACTGTTACTCGACCTTGAAGAAGACAATATGCAGCATCCGGGGGATCCTTGTGGGGCACCCGCGTACACTTACACATTGTCTTCTCCTACCACCCCTTATATTTTTAGTATTTGTCGTAAATGAGAGAGAGAGAGAGTCCTTTTGTCCCCTACTCTTGCCCCTTCTCTCAGAAAATGTATTATTACGAAGCAGTGAAACTTGTTCTAGTGTATATAATGCAATGAAAATAAATTGAATTTCTAAAATTCAAAACTTTATTCATAAATAGTTGCACATTTATAATTGACTTATTTTACAAAATTGCAAGTACAGTATTTATTTATATAATAACAAATAATAATAGCCTAACATTGGTCATTATAATTCTGGCTGGACTGAACAGGTCTGCAAACAGTGTTATTCATGAATAAACATGAATAACACATGGCGCCCGATCATCGAGGAGAGAATACTATACATGGAAACACTGTAGATGTGTGAATGCCTTGCCAGCTGCTGCAGTTAGTTTAGCTTCGTGGCTAAAAAAGATAGTGAGGACTTTTGTTCGTGCGTAATGGTTGGCAGAGACTGTTAAATGGCGAGAAAGTGGAGTTGGTTTATGGGATTCACAGGCGATGTAATTGTAGTTGATAAGAGGTATGGCGAGGAAGTCGGTGGTGAGGGGTTGGGTTAGTGAGGAAGAAGGGTAGTGAGGTGAGATGGGGTTGGGAGATGTAGTGGGGATTGTTACCGAGTGTTGTGGAAATGGAGTGGGGTGTGGTGAGGCGATGTAGTTGTTGTTGTTACAGATTTAGCTACTCAGAACGAAGTGTCCATGTAGCACGGGCTATGGTGAGCCCGTAATTGAGTTTGGCTATACGCGATAACCTTGTTTCTGTGATATTTGGGTCTAAGTTTAAAATAGAGGAGGGGATTCCTCCTTTTTCCCTGTTTATTTATCGCTTCTGTTTTAGTGCACTGGTTTTAGTCTTGTTTTATTAACATTATCTTGGTGGCGGATGTAGATGCAGAATGTTCACTAATGAGTCCCATTCCTCAACGGCTTTTCTAATCATTGTAGTCGCGGTGGAATGCGCATCCAATGCAGCTGCTGTCGTTGGATTGATGTTGAGTTTGATGCGCAGTGCTTCAGTAGCTTCACATTCCAGTAAGTAGTGCAATAGTGGCGCCTCTGCTTCTGTTTCACAGATGTGACACTCTTTAACTATTGGGTTCATTACCTCCCAGCTGCACTTGTAACCAAGTTTGAGTCTGTGTATGGCTACTGCAATGTCTCTGGATATTTTTTGCCAGGCTTGAAAGAGGAGTAACCAGTGGCTTGTTTGTACCATATCGCAGTGGAAACTTCCTTCCGCTACTTTGGCTCTGTGGCGACTTTTGATAGTTGAGAATCTTTTCTTCTTGATTTGCTTCTTAATCTGTGAGAAACTTGGAGGTATTTGAACCTGTACAACAGGTAGAGCAGTGGCAGCTTTTGCTAGTGAGTCTGCCTTTTCATTACCATCTATGCCAATGTGACTTGGTATCCATGGTGAGGCGAGATTGGGTGAGGAATTGTAGTGGGATGAGTAGGTTTGGTGAAGAAGTGGTGTGGGTTTGTGAGGTATGATGAGGAAGTAGAATGATGAGGTGAGATAGGGTGGGAAGGTATAGTGTTGTTGTTGTTGTTGTTTAAGATTTGCTACCTGGAATAAAAGTTCCAAGTAGCACGGGCTATGGTGAGCCCGCAAGGTATAGTGATGAAGTGGTTATTTATTAGTTTGGGTGGCGGTCGGTTGGTGTGACCCACATCTTCTCAGACGGATCGGTGGACACAGAATATGAGAGTGCTGGCGCTGCTCGTTGCATGGACAACAGGCATATTGGAGACTGGGAGAACCAATATTGTCAACCCAAACTGAGTTGTTTGCCATACAACAGGCATTCGCATATGTGATTGCACAAAACACTCAAAATGTAATCATACACACAGACTCAAAAGCCGCACTTCAAATATTAGGAAAAAAGCAGTGGAAAGACAACATGGAAATAATTATCACAATTTTGTATTTAGGAGCAGTAGCCAAAGACAAAGGACACAACATCACCCTAAACTCTATCCCATCCCATGTTGGAATCCCATTAATGAGAAAGTCGATGAAGCTGATAAATTGGCAATTCGTCATCCACTGATCCACAAAAAGAGTACATAAAAAACACCACAAAAAACTCGCACACCTCAACAAAGCCCATCTACAACGGAGTAGCAGAAGGTCCGCCCTCTGCCATATGGTATCTTCAGGCCATCAAGTTAGACCACTTACTTATCCCGAAAGGAATCCACGGGGAAATAGCAGTTCGGTTATATAGACTTCATCTAGGTTACAAATGCAACTGGGAAATTAGTAAACCTATAGAGTGGGAATGTATCTTCTGCCAAACAATCGCAGAAAGGCCACTACTTCACTATCTCTTGGTATGTGAAACAACCATAGACCTTAGAAAAGAGCTTTAAGGGTTCTTGGATCTTGCAGAACCACCCTGAAGCCATCACCACTGCCTCTCTGGTCAAAAAAAGGCGTCCAGCAGCTGGACATCCTCATAAATACTGTCAAGCAGTATCCTCCCCCGCGATACTAGTCACATAGTAAGGGCCGACGATCTGAATGCGAGCTCAGATCACAGAATATCCTTTCACGACCAAAGATCCATTCACTCTAAAAAAAAAAATCTACCAATACGGGCTATTCATGCCCGTGCCACCTCTTGGGTGGCTTAATCTTCATCAATCAATCGGTTTGTGTGGTGAGGAAGTGGTGGGATTGTGAGATTTGGCTGTGGGATGGGGTGGGGCTGGTTAGGTTTGATGAGGATGTGGGGTAAGGACTAGTTTGGTGAGGCGAGATGGGATGGGGAATTGTAATGAGGAAGTGGAGTTGGGTGAAAGATATTTTATTTGTTATACATAACTCTAATTTAATTCCATAAATTGATAACAAACAAAATAGGGTCCAGGTAGTACAGTCGGGTTCGTTCTCGACGCATAATCGAGAATTCCTGGTTCGAATCCCGGGCAGGACAGAAAGATTGGGCATATTTCCTTTCCCCTAATGATACTGTTCACCTAGCAGTAAGATCAGAATTACATTTCACCATTATAAATTCACATTAATGCATTCATAAATCTGTGTATCTATGTATTTACGTATGTAGCTTAGCCTAACATTTTAAAAGCACTACGATCACCTTCTGTGGTTGTTCAATAAATCTCTGAACTGTATGTTTGACAAACCTTTCACCCTGTCCATGGAGGACAGAAGAAAATGTATATATGCTAGTTAGCATTGTAAATGAGTGGCCACGTCTGTGGTAGAAAATAATAATAATAATAATAATAAGCAAGTAGGTTCTCAGGAGTTAGTCAGCTTGTTTTGTTTTTGTTGCCGCCGAAGGCGGCTAGTTTATTGTGCACCCCATACTCATCCTGTGAGCGGTAGCGCAAAAGCATTACAGAGGGCACAAAAGGTCTTTATCAGACCTCATCTTAGATTATTACATAAACAATTTCTTCAATCCTTCACACCTTATAGATACAATGTCAGCTAGTTACAGAGAAAGTGCTATTACAAGTCAGCTTGTTGTGGGGTCGCATCCCGGGCGGGGTTAGTAATTCAGCCTAGATAAAAGCCTAACGTGTATGAATACACTCTGGCTTCCTGTCCCCCGTCACACAATGAATTATGAATTAAAAATCGAACAAAATTAAATCAATTAATGGATACAAAAACAAAAATCATGAATACAAATATTCATTTCTTCAGCAGTGGATCAATATATATATATTTGGCACAAAATAATTTTCTCGCGATAAATGTCTACATAGCCAAGAATGATGGTCTCATTAATATTGAAGTTTAAATACAAATTTATTACATCATATATGCCACCTCTCTGCTTCACATGTTGTGAACTTAGATAAGGATATAAGGCAGATCCATGATTCTGCAGATAGGCATTACAAAGGTTTCTCCCCAGCAAGAGTATAAGACAGTCGTACCTTTCTCAAGAGGCATTACAAGGGTTTATCTTCAGTAGTTGAAATGACACATGTCAACGTTGCTGTGTTCCACCATATCTCTCCCTACCTGTATTTTTTTTTTTTTAGGTAAACAAGATACCCAGCTATCGTCCTTAATAGGATACAACAAAAGTTTCAAAATGCCCTTGTTTTCCAAATATATTCAGGAAGATATCTTTCTATCACGTCCACTTCCTCAAGCTCACATGAGCGAGCGAGCCTCGTATTGCTCTTATTAATACACTTCTAAAAGATCATTTTGGAAATCTTGAGAAAGATGTGTGGCTTATCGTTGTGGACCTCCTACGAGCAGCAGTAGATTGTGACATCGTTGAGAGCTGTGTCGTCGCCCTTACCTTGCTCTTTCTCAACCCGGGTCTGCAGTCCGCAGATCACTTGGCCTGAGGAAGGTAGCAGATGTTAAGTAACGTCTCGAGACGTCGATGAAGCTACATAATGACCCATAAGTCATAACAGATTTATTTACTATAGACTTATAGTTAATACTGAATGTTACTTCATTGTGACCCTATTTTTTTTTGGGGGGGGGGGAAGTAAAGAGGATGGAGAGGCATAGGTGAAGGGAAGTATAGAAGTGGTAAATACAGTGAGAGGTATGAAAGCAGGCGGGCTGTCCGCCTTGCTGACACCTTGTGGGTGTTGGCAGCTAAGCTAAGACATAATTGTGTGGGGGTGTTCGTAATTTTCATAAAAATAACTGGTTTAATATTATGGTAAATAATGCATTACGAATTATGCCAAGCTATATATAATTATTATTTTCCATCGTAGTATAGCACGCTTGAGTTAGCAACACCCTTAATCATATCAAGATTGTGAAATAAAGAGGTTCGTCAGAAATCACCAAAATGGCAACAGTAATTAACTAATTACATAGGCTATGCAGATTATGCTTCAGGTCCAAAATAAGTGTGATATAAATTAGACAAATTTTGGGAAAAACTTTTCCAATTTTAAAGAAAAAATACCATAGAAAAATCAAATTATGACACAGTAAGAGAAGCAGATTAATGTTAACGTGACATCAGGTATTTAAGGTTAGATATTAGAATAAGGTCCATATTTATGAACTATGACCTAAAAAGGATAGTTATTATGAGACGTGAGATATGGAGGCCAGTGCAACTCACAGATCAAAATGTTTGGAAGGTGATAACTTTGTGTTAAGGATAACTCTAATCGTGGTAGTGTGCCAGGCCTATAAATTGCATAAGATTATCAAAGCCAAAGTTGTAACAATGTAACTATACCAACCACTTGGGCAGGTCTGCCAAGAGCCCCATGTGCCCCAGCTGTTGCCTCCTCCGGTGAGTTCTTCCCCGGTCTCACAGCGCATGTCCAAGCTGTCGGCTGCAGTGTCGTCTCCGCTGCCTTGATGCGACTCGACACGCAGTCTGAAGGCATTCAAGCGGCCGTTGCGGCATTGATATTTACCTGTGAAGACAAGACGTAGTGAAGTCGTGATGAATTTTTTTATTCTTTATTATTTACACATTTAGGTACATCTGCATTCGTGCAGCTACCCTAGACTATATGAAGGGGGAGTACAGCGTGTCAAAAAAATCTTGCTACGTGATGCTAAAAATCCCCATCACACAGGATGGTTAATCATACAAAGGCATGTGATAAGTAGTCTGCGCTGGGAATCTCTGGGTGCATTATGAGGATATGAACGCAAGAGTAAATAAGGTAGCCGGTCGGCCGAGCGGACAGCACACTGGACTTGTGACCCTGTGGTCCTGGGTTCGATCCCGGGCGCCGGCGAGAAACACAGGGCAGAGTTTCTTTCACCCTATGCCCCTGTTACCTAGCAGTAAAATAGGTACCTGGGTGTTAGTCAGCTGTCACGGGCTGCTTCCTGGGGGTGGAGGCCTGGTCGAGGACCGGGCCGCGGGGACACTAAAGCCCCGAAATCATCTCAAGATAACCTCAAGAAGGTAGCAGTGATATTGAAAGTCCCCATCTCGCAGGATAGTTAGTCACACAGGGTCATACGTTCAATAACCTGCACTGGCAAATTTTGGGTGCAATAATGAGGATATCTTCAAGAACACGAGAATGAATAACGTAATTGCAAAGCTCCAGGTACCTCATGCCAATGGGTCTGAATGGTCTAATAACTGGGCATTCGGTGATGTAGTGTGGGAGATCATGCCGCAGTTCCTGCTCACAGAGTGCACCTGGAGCGCTCAGGATTGGGAGATCCGTCACCTGTGACCACCTGCCACGGGTAACGGTAACCCAACCTGATCCTGGCAACCACTGTGTCGCACAGTCTGGTGGACGTTTTGTGCTGCCCATAAACATAGGTTTCAGATCTAAACAAATCATAGCTTTTTATATTGGTGCTTTCAGGTCGTTGGGAGTCAGTAATTTCTCTATCAGACCTGAGTGTTTGGAACAATATAGTTTTGATAGTAGAGATGGGGATATCTAGATCTAATTCAACTTCATCTTTGTTACACGCTAATTTGGCTGCAATGTCTGTGTCATTATGATGGGTTATATTTATGTGTGATGGTATCCATACATAGGAGATTCGAAACCCTTTACTCTGTGCAGCAATAAGGTCATTTATAATTGCTAGTATGAGGTTCTTGCTGTCGCTCTTGCAGGAAAAGTTTTCAATTGCTTGAAGGGCAGACTTTGAATCACAAAATATGCGCGTAGCAATAAAATCCTGTAGTAATATTCTCATAACTATGTTTTATCATCGGCATATGTAAATTAATAATGTATTCAGTGAAATATAAAAATAAATAAAACAATTCGCTAGTGGCAAAATTAGCTTGAAAATTTGTAGCCTAATTTAGCCATTTATACAAACCAGAAAATTTACATTACCAAATCTCGAACCTATCCTATGCCTACCTAAATCAGCCAAACTAACTGTATAAATATACAGTCATATCAAGTAAATCGTCGACTTCATGTACAAACACACACATGTATAATTAACTATGTGGCTGTGGTGTTACTGACCTGTCCAATCGCCCCATTTCTGAACACTGGAAGAAACGGTGGCCACCTCAAGCCCGGTCAACCCAGACCTGCAGTAGAGTCTGATCCCGTTCAAGGCGGTGTCGTCCCCGTCGCTGACTGGTCGTTCCACCTGTCAGCAATTAACGTATAAACACAATATATGAGATAATGATGTTTAACTATTTTCGTTAACCAGCTGTTAACAGATAGAGCCACGAAAACATCGAATAAAGAAGAGAAATATAACTTTCCAGGTGTAGGCCTAAATGTACAGGTGTTTTTCACCTGAATGCAGGTGTATTCAGTAATGTGAATACTGGGACTTTTCAGGTGTTGCCTAGTAACGGCAGGGAAGCTGATTAAAACAATAGTGTTTTGATATAGGAAAAGCTTCCACGGGTATACCTTGAGGTTACCTTGAGGTGCTTCCGGGGCTTAGTGTCCCCGCGGCCCGGTCGTCGACCAGGCCTCCTGGTTGCTGGACTGATCAACCAGGCTGTATGAGGACAGACACTACACAAGACAAACACAAATAAATCTTTAATGAAGATGACGTATTGGATTTACCGCCCACCATCAGAGTTTATTGGAGGCCAGTATTGCACTTATATGATCAAATGTGTCACGTAGTATTTAATAATTAGTAATATTAATTGTTGCTTATCTTACCTTAATATCAAAGCCGGTGGCGTAACTGTTTCTGGGACAGAAAGATGCTTCTCCCCAGTCTCCCCAGGGGCCCCCGTTGGCGCTGCTGATGGTGGAGTCCCGTCCCATCACCACACCTGTCACACACAAAGATATGCCGCATTTCAGTATATATAAACAGTGGGAGTTTACTTTGGTTCAAGGAATCAACAGGGAAATAGCAGTTCGGTTATATAGACTACGTCTAGGTTACAGATGCAACTGGGAGATTGGTGAACCCCGACAGAGAGAATGCATCTTCTGCCAAACAATGACAGAGAAGCCACTACTTCACTATCTCCTGGAATGTGAAGCAATCAACGACCTTAGAAGAGCTTTAAGAGTCCCTGAATCTTGCAGTAACCACCGTGAAGCCATCAACACTGCCACTCTTCTGGTCAAAATAAGTGTCCAGCAGCTGGACACCCTCACAAATACTGTCAAGCAGTATCCTCCCCCGGGATAGCAGCCTGACGATTAAATGCGACCTCAGCGCACGGTATACATTTACTAAACAACTCTACCACTTATGGGCTATTCATGCCCGTGCCACCTCTTGGGTGGCTTAACCTTCATCAATCATCAATCACTTTGATTTTTACGGGCTATTCATGCCCGTGAATAGGTGAATGGTGGATGGATAAGCCACCCACCTCATGAGTGGCTTAATCTTCGTCAATCAATCACTTTGACTCCAGCAGTCACAGCCCCGCTCCTGTTCCAGGTAAAGCCACTACGGGCTCACCATAGCCCGTGCTACTTGGAACGTTTTGTACCGAGTAGCTGAATCTAAAACAACAACAACTTTGGTTCTTGCGGGCTATCATGCCCAAGCCACCTCTAGGGTGGCTTAATCTTCACCAATCAATCACTTTGGTCCTGAACATTAAATAGGACTAAAGTATACTTTTGGATATGGTCTCAATAACCCTGATGTGGTTGATAAGCGTTATATGCCCAACGTCAAACTAAATTGTGACAATCATTAACAATGAATGAACATTTCACTCGTAGAAGATTTAACAATATCAACAGATGAACAAATTTAACAATATCAGTTTAAGTTATTTAATTTTACGTGTACAAAACATGAAGAATACTGGCCAAAGATTTCTAGGTCAGGCGTTCACCTAAATGTCCCAAAATCCTAACAATGCTTACAGAAATACAACAAAAGCATACATACCAACGGCAGAACACAACTTTGGCACACATGCCACTATACACGTACCCGTAGGAGAGTATGACACATACCTGCGACACAGAGAAGGATTCCAAAAGTGCACTTCATCTTCGTCAAATCTGTAATACAGAACAATACACCTCAGTTCATGGCTGTAGCCGTGTTTATATGTATGTATGTATGTATGTATGTATGTATGTATGTATGTATGTATGTATGTATGTATGTATGTATGTATGTATGACAATGACCATGAAGGAAAATGAGACAGAAAATTCCCTAAGTACTTACGTATTAAGTTAGGTTAGGTTAGGTTAGGTTAGGTTAGGTTAGTTAATCAATACATCTTCATCCTTCTGAAGATGAATTGATTAATATGAAAGTACGTAAGGACTTTCCTGTCTCATTTTCCTTCATGGGTTAGACATTGAGACCTCCCCTTAACCTTAGACCAAGAGAATAAAAGGATTATTTTATGCTCACCAGTGCTTCTCGAAGAAAGAAGAAGGCCAGAGTGTGTGAAAGTAACTCTTGTATGCCTGTGGGGGATTACTGCGAGCTTTGGCGCTTATATACAGCATGTAGAGGGAGGCTAGCCGAACCCCACATCCTCTCCTGCGATAACAAGCCTCTTGGTTACCCATTCTAAATTTCTTCTTTATAAGTTGGGAGACGTCATATTTATGGCTTTTATGGATCATAACTTTGGTAGGCTTGTTGATGCTATGGTAATGATGTTTGATATGTGATTTCTGTATCAAGTTTAATAAGGAATTATATATTCTCCAGCTTTTCAAAAATCTCTTTCATTTGGGTTATTTATTAACATTATGTTTTCTTGTGTTTATAGAGATGTGGGCGTTCACTGTGGTGATGACCTCTAGTACAAGTCTTATTATGCCAATGATGATAATTAAATTATGCCAATGATAATAATTAAATTATAATAATTTATAAATAATATTTAGTGTTATACTGTAGTCTCAATTATAGAAAAGAGCAAGAATTTTGACATTAACAACAATTATAGAGGTTTTGTATTTGATAACATGAATTTCTAACTGCATGAATTATAATCTAAACTGAACTGCATAATCTAAATGGGGCCTAACTAGAGCAAGATATAGCTTGAGAACCACACCAGGTGTCTTGTTACTAACGCTGCGATTAATAAATCCAAGTGTTGTGCAGTTAGATTATACACTTGGATTTATTAATCGCAGCGTTAGTAACAAGACACCTGGTGTGGTTCTCAAGCTATATCTTGCTCTAGTTAGGCCCCATTTAGATTATGCAGTTCAGTTTTGGTCGCCATATTATAGAATGGATATAAATTCACTTGAACGTGTCCAGCATAGGATGACTAAGTTAATTCCCCAAATTAGAAATCTTTCATATGAAGAAAGATTAACAAAGCTTAAGTTGCATTCACTGGAAAGGCGAAGAGTTAGGGGTGACATGATAGAGGTTTACAAGTGGGTGAATGGACATAACAAAGGGGACATTAATAGGGTATTAAAAGTAAGGATTGCGATGTTGTATACCTTGACTTTAGCAAAGCTTTTGATACAGTGCCACATGAAAGACTGATTAAAAAAATAGAGTCTCATGGTATTGGGGGTGCTATATTAAGCTGGATTAGGGCATGGCTATACCAAAGGAAACAGAGAGTTAGTATAAATGGAATCAAGTCAGAGTGGGAAAATGTTGTAAGTGGAGTGCCTCAAGGCTCTGTCCTGGGACCTCTGTTGTTTATAATATATATAAATGATTTAGATTCAGGTTTGAGTAGCAACATTTGCAAATTTGCCGATGATACGAAAATCGGTAGGGAAATTAATTCGGAGGAGGACTCACTATCACTTCAAGTTGATCTAGATAGGGTTTTGAAATGGTCAAAGGATTGGCAGATGCAGTTTAATGCTGATAAATGTAAAGTTCTGAGGTTAGGTAATGATGATAGAGTTACAAGATACGAGCTAGATGGTGTTGTGATTGCGAAAGGGATCTGGGAGTTATGATTAGTAAGAATTTAAAACAAAAGGATCAATGCATAAATGTTCGTAATAAGGCAAATCGGACACTTGGATTTATTAATCGCAGCGTTAGTAACAAGACACCTGGTGTGGTTCTCAAGCTATATCTTGCTCTAGTTAGGCCCCATTTAGATTATGCAGTTCAGTTTTGGTCGCCATATTATAGAATGGATATAAATTCACTTGAACGTGTCCAGCGTAGGATGACTAAGTTAATTCCCCAAATTAGAAATCTTTCATATGAAGAAAGATTAACAAAGCTTAAGTTGCATTCACTGGAAAGGCGAAGAGTTAGGGGTGACATGATAGAGGTTTACAAGTGGATAAATGGACATAACCGGGGGATATTAATAGGGTATTAAAAGTATCAACACAGGACAGAACACGAAACAATGGATATAAATTGGATAAGTTTAGATTTAGGAAAGACTTGGGTAAATACTGGTTCAGTAACAGGGTTGTTGATTTGTGGAACCAATTGCCGCGTAACATTGTGGAGGTGGGGTCCCTCGATTGTTTCAAGCACGGGTTGGACAAGTATATGAGTGGGATTGGGTGGTTATAGAATAGGAGCTGCCTCGTATGGGCCAATAGGCCTTCTGCAGTTACCTTTGTTCTTATGTTCTTATGTTCTTATGTTCTGTTTGTACAAATTATTTGGTTTTTAAAGAAACTGATTAGCACTTATATTTGAAACAACTGAAACAAGAATTGAAACATACTTTTCGGCTTTGATCAAACTGCGAAACAAGATATATATATATATATATATATATATATATATATATATATATATATATATATATATATATATATATATATATATATATATATATATATATATATATATATATATATATAAGCAATCCAGCTGGGATCGCCCCATTGCCGACCAAGAAGCTGCAACTTTGCTAGAAGCTGCGACAACACCACATGACACTGCCCGACTTAGAGCTGTAGCAGCTCCCCATGCAGGTGATTTCCTATTAGCAACCCCAATGTCAGCAACCGGCACCCGTCTCACACCGCAAGCCCTCCGAATTGCCGTGGCTCTCCGCCTCGCTGCCCCAATCCACACCGAATACAGGTGTATTTGCAGCGAGGCAGAGGCCGACAGATATGGACGGCATGGCCTTCTTTGCCAAAGGACGGGAGGATGGCATGCAAGACACGGTGAGGTTAATGACATTATTAAGAGAAGCCTTACCACAGCCGGTTGTCCAGCAGAGAGAGAGCCCCGTTACCTAATGTCCCGCAACTCTGATGAGCCTGTCGGTCGCCCAGACGGAATTACGGTGAACCCCTGGAAGAATGGTAGACAGTTGGTGTGGGACTACACTTGCGTTTCAACTTTAGCCAATACCTATGTTGACTTCAGTGCTACACAAGCAGGAGGAGCTGCCAATCACCGGGAAGCGGCCAAGTCACGTAAATACAGAGACCTTGAGCACCACTACAATTTTGTCCCCATTGCCTCAGAGACACTTGGTGCCTGGGGTAAAAGTGCTGCTAGCTTTTTGAAAGAGTTGGGGTCTAAGCTAATCGAAACAACTAGAGACCCTAGAGCTGCCAGTTTTCTTTTTCAGCGCCTTAGTGTGGCAATCCAGAGAGGAAATGCTCACTGCATCCACGGTTCCTGCCCGCCATCTGAGGAGCTGGAGGAGCTTTTCAACTTGTGACAAGCAGCCTTGTACCCTGCATGTAATCAATATTGTAACTTTTTTTGTGTAATGACATTTTCAAATAAAGTTAGATAAATATACACACTTAACAAAAGAATAGGGGTGGTAGGAGAAGAAAATATCAAAGTGTTCAGTGAGGATCCACAAGGTCTTCTCTGAGTACTCTTTATTTTCTTCTCCGAGGCTATGGGTCCCTACACTTGCACCAGAGGTGGTACCCCTTCTATATAAAAAAAAAAAATATATATATATATATATATATATATATATATATATATATATATATATATATATATATATATATATCTTATATGAATAATACGTGAATATTGCCTCATATATGAGTAAGAGGCAATTTTGGAATTGGTAAAATTCCCGAAGCACGGCATCCTTAAATGCATGCTAGGAAAATTACTTAATATGCGGTTACAATTGTAGAATTGTTAGCAAAATCGAGCATTACAATTATTGGAGTTCAGCTAATGGGAAAGTCAACAAAAGGGAGACCAGCTGACTGAACACCAATTACCGAGAGGTCACTATATAATAGGGAGGCCAGCTGATAAGGAAGCCAGCTGACGAGGAAGCCAGCTGATAAGGAGATCAGCTGACAATGAGCCCCAGCTAATAGGGGCCTGACGGCTGAGTGGACAACGCTCGGGTTTCGTAGTCCTATGGATCCGGGTTCGATCCCCGGCGGAGGCGGAAACAAATGGGCAGAGTTTCTTTCACCCTGATGCTCTGTTCACCTAGCAGTAAATAGATACCCGAGAGATAGACAGCTGCTACGGGCTGCTTCCTGGGGACATGTGTGTGTGAAAATTAGGATTAAGGACTTGCCCGTAATCGCTACGAGTGCTAGTGGTTGTATTACGGGCTCACCATAGCCCGTGCTACTAGAACTTATTGTTCTGAGTAGCGAATCTTAAACACCAACAACATAGTGGTTGTACAAGATTGTAAACAACTCTTGTACTGTATATATCAATAACAAATAAAATAAAAACAAGGAAGCCAGCTGACATGACGCCATGTGACGGGAAAGCCAGTTAATATTGAGTTTGTTTTACTCTGTATATAATAATAATAATAATAATAATAATAATAATAATAATAATAATAATAATAATAATAATAATAATAATAATAATAATTTATTTAGGAAAAGTACATATATAGTTGCAGAGTTACAGTACAAACATTCTGTTTGATTTAAAGATAGAGGTAGTACATACAGTACCTAATGCCACTAGTACGCATAGCGTTTCGGGCAAGGTGAGGTGGGAAAAAAAACTTAGACTAAAACTTAATAGTAATTGAGCTTAAAGTATAAATTGCGTTGAAAGAAAAAAAAATAATAAAAGATAAAAAAAGGGGGGAACATGGTAGAAAATAGCCAATGTACAAGTTGGTCAACAAACAGCTTTTTTTTTAAATAATAAGATATGGTTTGACACTTAGAAGGTAGGTTACATGGAGTTAATTAGGTGGTACTTAGTTTTCATCTTAAACTGGTTGAGAGAGGTACAATCTTTGACATGATTGGGAAGGTCATTCCACATTCTGGGTCCCTTGATTTGTAGTGCATTTCTAGTTTGATTAAGTCATACTCTTGAAATATCAAATAGGTATTTGTTTCTGGTGTGGTGCCCATGAGTTCTGTTACAACCTTCTAGGAAACGTTGAAGGTCAGGATTGACATTACAATTCAGAGTTTTAAATATATAGAGTACACAAGAGAGGATGTGTAGTGACTTAATATATAACATATTCAGAGATTTGAGTAAGGGTACCGAGTGCTGTCTGGGGCCAGAGTTAGATATTGTTCTAATAGCAGCCTTGTGTTGGGTAATTAGAGGACGTAATACAAGTAATAC